TAACATATAAGATATAAGATATAAACTATAAGATATAAGATATAAGATATAAACTATAAACTATAAGATATAAACTATAAGATATATGTTATATACTATAACATCTAAGATATATGTTATATACTATAAACTATAAACTATATGTTATATACTATAAACTATAAACTATATGTTATATACTATAACTATATACTATATGTTATATACTATAACTATATACTATATACAATATATTATATACTATATAACAACAAAGTTGTGCAAAACTTACAGTATATATCTTATATGATATAGTATATATGTTATATGATATATAGTATATATCTTATATGTTACAATTATTTAATATACTATATATTAAAAATCTTAACACTGAAGGATATGAATAAATTTTGTGCAAATATGAATGCAAATGCCTAGCGGCCTAATGGTAATGAGGTGCGCCCAGAGATAACAGACTCGCCCACCCGGGTTCGAGTCCCGAATCTGGGATCCTCATTCCATTTTTTCGCTCTTTATAAAACGTATTCGCTAAATACGTTTTATAACTCGAATTATTTGAAAACCGTATTCCGTGAATACGGTTTATAAAAAAATTTGATTTCTTTAAAACGTATTTAGCAAATACGTTTTTAAATATGTATTATCCCACGCAAAACGCACGCCGCGCCAGCGCCGCCGCGCCACCACCTCAACAGCAAATCGAAACTCGTGAATTAGGTAAATGGTCTAAATTTTTTTAATTTTTCTAATAAATTCGAATTTTCATAATACGTTTTTAAGTTAGGGTTTCATTAAAATTTGATGTTTTAGGGTGTTAGGGGTTGATTAGAATTAGGAAATTTTCAAAATTAGGACGTTAGGGTTTTGATTTAGAACTTCGAATTAGGACTCGATATACTATGTTGTCGAAATTGTGAAATTGTGAAATTGTGAACTATTGTGTGAACTAGTGTGTGAAGTATTGTGTGAAGTTCAATTTTCATTCTTTCAAGCCGATTAGTTTATTACGGAAGAAGCTAAAATGGCTATACATTCTCTATACTTTTATGAATTATATTGATGAATATAAATTATTTGCTAAGGTGAATTGACTTGATATAATGAGTTGAGAATGAAATTTGGATTTAATTGAGTTGAATTAAATCCTTTTAAATAAGTTGGGGCCTTGTTTATTTTTCAAATGAGCGATATTTTCTAATAAATAATCTTAATCATGATATAACACATTTTTGTATTGTTTGTAGATAAATGGCTTCATCGTCCTCCTCACAGCCTCAGCAGTACAGTGTCCATCCCGGTCCGAGGGATGGCACTCTTCTATATCTCCAGTACCGCCACCGGTCACAGGCGGTATTTGATAATGCGCCGGGAGCTCGTGACACGGCGCTCACTAACTGCCGTTTTGACAGTCAGTTCTGGGCGGCTTTGTCAAGCCAGCCACGGTCGGTTTGGGATGTCATCGACCGGACTGGTTTCGGACCCTTGTTTCAAATGGGTCGAATCCAAGCCGACAACAGCCTCATTACTGCTCTCGTGGAGAGGTGGCGCCCAGAGACGAATACCTTTCATTTCGATTTCGGCAAGGTCACCATCACGCTCCAGGACGTACAAGTCCTGTTCGGTCTGCCAATCGTTGGAGCTGCTGTTGTGGGAGTGACTAGAGATCTATCACATGTACAGTGGCGAGAGAGGTGCAAGGACTTGCTAGGGTACGAGCCATATGTTCAGGTATATTTTTTCATAAATTTTTTTTTAAATATATGTCAACTCAATTTTATAGTTTTTTAATATGGAAAACCACTCTCAGGATCCTCCCACCACCGAGGAAGAGCAAGCAGCCCAAGATCCAAAGTCTTGGGACATTAAAAGCCAGTATCTGAATGATGGAGGGTTAGAGGAGGAATGCAACCGTGTGTTGCAAGAAGGACAACCGGACATCGTGTACGAGCAGAGGGCGAGGGCCCATATCTTCTGGTGCATTGGCTCCTTCATCTTCCCCGACCAGCGGGCGAATGGCGTCCCACTTTACTGGCTCGACCTGCTGCAGGACATACATGCTGTTAAGGGGTACAGTTGGGGTTCAGCGCTTTTGGCCGGAGTGTATAGAGCGTTGTCAACCTCGTACAAGGCCAAGGAGAAGTGGATGAAGAACTGCGTTCAATTGATCCAGGTAAATTTATTTAATTGTTATTTGAAAATTTAATATTTTATTTTTTCTTACTTCGACTAATACCTAATACCAAAATTAATATCCATTTGTGTAGGTTTGGGCATGGGAGCATATCCCTCGTATTCGCCCAATAGTGAAGGTCAGTGTGTTTGATAATCTGCCTGGTTGTCCATTGGGAGCGAGGTAATCACCGTTATTTTTATTTAATCCGTACATTATTCTCATTATCAAATTTTGTGATTACAATTTTATTTTTTTCTGTGATTTTTGTAAGGTGGGTGGGACCGAAAAAGAAGTTCAACATAGCCAATACATTGGTCGCCTACCGGGATCAGTTGACAGGGCTGGGAGAGTATGATGTAATATTCTTAATTTCTATTACTTGATTTATCTTTCTTTTTTTTTATTTCTAATTTTGTAATAACTAATTACTAATTCTTTTTGGGAATTTTTTTTACAGTTCGATTGGCAGCCCTATCGACAACACCTGGAGAATGAAACTCTCCCGGAGGTGTGCTCAAGAGATCCACAACTTTGGATGTACCGGGGGTGGATTTTCAGTTGGAACACCCGGGAGGTACACCTGCCTGACAGGGTCCTCCGTCAATTTGGGTATCGCCAGTCCATCCCCCAAGATCTGATCATTCGGGATGAGTGAGACTGGGACACACACCACAAAGGTCAGGGGATGACTGGGAGGGCGTTTTATGACTGGGCCGCATTCCATGTGCCGTTTCTGAGCTCGTGGACCGAAAAAATAGAACAACGTATCCTCCCAGTTGCCCCTGTGTACGACTATCTGCAGCCGGAGCAGGGTTACCTTGAATGGTTTCACAGCAGGACTGTGAGATTCATCAATAACCCTGCCAATTACCCGATGTTCCAGCAGGCGGGCGGTTATCAGCCACTTGCCGAGCGGTTAGGCTGTCAGGTAAGTGTTCATTATTTGTGTTTATTATTATTATTAGTATTATTATTATTATTATTTTATTTATTTATTTATTTATTTATTTATTTTTTTTTGTGTTTCATATACTAATTATTATGAATTTTATTTACAGACTTCTGCACTACAAGAGGTTTATGGCGCATTATCCACATTCAACCATTAATGCCTCAAACCCCTCCAAAAGCGCAGACCGGCTTCCAACAGTCGTACAACTTTGCCTTCTCTTCTCTGACTGTTGGGGGCCAGGGTGTTCCACATGGGGGGCCGTCCAGTCAAGTTTAGGACGAATACATTTCCCCCGTGAGGACACAGTCACACACGACCAGGCATCGACCCGCCCCGAACATTGGTGGGGGTAGAAGACCTTGGGCCCGTCCCCGCGCTCAGCCGTCCGCCCAGCAACTCCAACCTGAGCAGCCTGAGCTTCAACTTGAGCAGCCCGAGCTTCAACCTGAGCAGACCGAGCCTCAACAAGGTGAGATTTTTAAATTACTAATTTTTTTTTTTCAAGTCCAATTTATGATTTCTTTATTCAATTGAATTACTCAGATGAAGAAGATGAAAATGAGCAGGCTTTTCAAACTGGCACGCTTCTCACACCTCAACCTTCGTCTTCTTCTCACATGGTATATACTCGGAGGGGGTCCAGACCGCGCAAGACTAAAGTCCCATACACTCCTCCTAGTTAGTTGTGTTGAATTCGTGATTTTTATGTTTATTTTGAATGATTGGATTGTCTGTATAAACTGAATTATATCGTTTTGAATATATTGTTTGTTCAACAAATTATTGTGTTTCATTTGTTTGTTTATATGGTATGTTGGATTGTTATTGGGCGAATATGTTGATAATAGTTGCTCGAACAGGTGTATTTGGTTGTGAACAGGTATATGTGGTTGTGAACAGGATTTTTGCTAAAAACGTATTAGTGAAATCAGTTTATTATTTTTTTTTACAAAAAACGTATTTCAACAATACGTTTTCTTTGAAAATTTAGGGCTAAAATTAGGGCAGCAATATCAATTCGGGGCGAAATTTCACAAAAACCGTATTTGCAAAATACGTATTATATTTTAATTTTTTTTTTCTAAAAATATTATTTGCAATAATAGTAAAAATTAATTTTATTTGGAAAACGTATTTGTGAAATACGTTGTATGATTAAAAAATAAATATAAAATTATTTTAATTTGAAAACGTATTCAGGCAATACGTTTTCTATTTTTGCTAATTGAAAATATATTTCGTTAATACATTTTTCTATATTTTAATTAAGTTAATTACGTTAATTAAGTTGACTAATATTTTTTATAAAAACCGTATTCCGTGAATACGGTTTATAACAGAAGACGNTCGGGTAAAAAAATCCGATTTGAGATCACCAAAATATTTAAACTACTTTTGTGCATGCATTATTTTTGGTTCATACAAACGACCATTAGTTTAAAGACATGAATAATTGCATACAGATGAAGAAGCTACTATATTGACTCAATATCAGTTTGTTGGGATTCTGAAGCACTACATATATATGATACGTGTATCAATTTTACTTACGCATAGATTGTAAGTAAACTTCATTTAGTCCTATGATAGGCAATTGTAAGTAAAATTAATGTAGTCCTATTTTAGGTGCAAGTCAATTTATAGGAAATGATATGTACGTTGATCTACTTTCGTAGTAGACAAGTTTAAAACTTAAGCAAACTTCTCAAAACTATTTTTGGGATGAATATTTATTCTCAATTAGAAATGTGTGGGGAAAAAAAAGTTTTTGTTGCTCAAATTAAAGTTTTTGTTGGCACTTCTGTCGCCATTTTCCAGGAAACCAACACACTGAGTTCCCAACACATTCTATCCTGATAACTCAGCTTCTTGGTCAGATTTTAAGAGTGGGATGATTCATACATCTACCAAATTTAGGAAGCCAATCAAACTAACAAATTTCACAGAGCTGCAATTCAGTATGACAATCAACAGTTTTATAAACTATTAGTTTAACGATTATGTATTATGTTAATACATTCAATGGTCATAATGTATAGATGTCTTCATACATCTTCAACAATCATGGGGGGCCTTGTTTTCCACTGAACCAAAAAGAGGGTGCAAAAGAAACTATACTGTTAAAGAGAAATTTATCAACCAGAAGTTACTTTTTCAGACGATAGTAAGCAGCAAGTGAGGTATAGTTTCATGGATTAACTTTTCAAGAACCTAAATAATCTCTCCCAAGAAAGTAATCAGCCTACCATTCAAGTTGCATATTCTTTTGAGTTGAAAGCGGGAGGGTATCGATTATCAGTAACCATTGTTATCTTTCCACCTTGAAAGCTGTCAGCATCAGCATCAACATCGCCCTTTCGTTCGTCTTTGGGGAGAGTGTTGCAGTGAATGGTGTGTGACAGTGGCCTTTCTTCATGAAATAATCTGCAATAAGATATTTTACCGATTAAGTTAAACCATACTTAATTGAAATAATAGCATACACCAATGAAAATAAAATGGCTTCACTACAGATGTTCCTGAACAATATCATCCATGACTTCACTTTAATCAGCTTATTAAATAACAGGAACAAATAACAGGAAATGTAACTGAAAGCCTGCTTGATTTGGCTGTTTCGAATAATGTGATGGTAACCGTTGGCTGTTTCCATCGCTGATAATAGTTAGTTGTTAGCTTATGGTTGATTTAAATTTTTAAACGACTTTTTGATAAAATGAGTTATTAGTATATTGATTACATGAAAACTTAGGTTAATTCAACAATATAGACATGTTTGTAACTTTACTTTACTTTGTCATAAAATTAAGAAAAGGATATAAACGTGATATCAGCGTTATGAAATGAAAATATTTCAGAAACTATACACATAAAATCAAGACAAACAGTACCCAAACAAATCGTAAAAATAAATTAATAAAAGGCATTATCTTTTTCTTTTTTCTTTATATACGTTAAAATTTTGTAAAATCCTATTACAATACTAATCTACCATATTAAATAATTTGTATAGTTAAGATGTGTAAATAGGACATTTTCTTTGTAGTAATCAGCTCCATTACTCTGGAGCTGATTGAAGCTTTTATGCTAAACACAAAGGAACTTACCTGCGAATAGATAAGCTTTCAATTTTCTCCAAAAAAAAAAAGTAAAAAAAGACTTCCAGTTTTCCCAGTTCAACCTACCAAGCAACTCTTGAGTCATAACCATAAAGAAAATGCTGCATCCTTTTGAACAAAAGGGTACCTCACCCATTCACATCATATTGTTATATAACATTCTTAACAAGTGAGAAACCTGGAAGTTGCATCAGTGTGACAATTTAGAAAATGTATGTCATTTTCAGGAAATTTTAAGAAACTTCAGGCCTTTCTGAACAAATTTCCAGATTTTCCTATTTATTGTTTTACAAATATTTTAGTACAAATGTGGAATATATGAATATATAAGATTTTGAAACAATTTCCACTTAAATAGTTTCATTAAAAGGTATAACAATATTTTCCAAATACAGTAAAAAAATGTGGAAAAAAAGGTAAGTGTAATTACGGATGTCTATATAAGCATTGGATTTTTATAATAGCATGTATATTAATCCTTGCTGCATTGCGGTAAGATAGTATTGTGCTTTTGCTATAGAAAAGAATAGTACTATTGCGTACACAAAACTACTACAAACAAAAACAGTACAAAAGCTCATCCGTGAGAAAGATCTTGGCATAACAAATATGCAAATTGATTAGTCTCGTCAAAGCTTCAATCTTGGTAATTAACAAGGATGAATTTAACTTACAGCATTATGGGTACGAGCCTCATCCAATTAGAAAAATGTATTATAGTATGAATCAATCAGGATAGAAATAACATTTTAGCATGAATCAATCAGAAAAAGATGCTACATGTAGAATTTGTACATAATGCGGTCAGCAGCAATAGTGACAAAAATACTGTTTTGTTTTCTATAACTTCATATAATGTGCAAGAGCAGTTTTCAAGGATTGAAGCACACACGCAGACACATGCTACATAGTATATACATGCAAAAACACACACAGACATACTATATACATGCAGAAGACACAGAGACGCAGACATGCACAACACACACACACACACACACACACACAAAAAAAAAAAGAAACACAGAGAGAGTCTTACGGATGCTTGCAAAGAGTTGGGCAATGGAATGTCAGCGCATACTTGCATGTAGATAACTCTGTGATTGAGCTTATCATAGCTCTGGGTTCAGAACAGACAAATCTAACCTGAAATTGAAAACCTTTGGGAGATACAGTTATCCATGAAGATGGATACAAGGTGGCCAAAAGAACTTTAAACAATTACCTCTGTTTCTCGTGGCTCGTTTGTTAGATCACAGAGGGTCCCATTGGTAAATATATGAGCATGATACCTGGATATTGTGATGGAAAAGTTCAGTTAATCCACCCCACAATTTTATAAGCTGACTGCAATGCAGTCCCTCCAATTCAAACAAATAAAATTGATACCGTTGAGAAGCATCTTTTGAGCGAGGATCCTTCAATGTTGATATATCAGAAAGATTATGATTGTTAGCCTCTGTAGCTTCTTTATCATATACTCCCAAGACAAATTCTTGAACAACCTATAAGGCATTGACGGTTAGGTGTACTTTACACTGAAACAATGCTTTAGCAAGAATAATGGGAAGACTTAAAAGCCCAGAGGCTCGACATTAGACAATAAGTGTTGGCAATATCAGAAACTGTCCTCCAATAGCTTAGAGAGTTAGTGCTTTGAATTTTTTATATATATTTTGGGAAATATATGGAATTGGAGGAGCAGGCATATCCTATATCCTTGAGATAAAACTGCATATAATTTACAAAATCAAAAACAGAATGACCTTCTCATCCTCCAAATGAATTTGGCGCAGCCGATTTAGGTAGCAAAATTCATAGGACCACCATCCCTCTTGCTGCAGACAAATATTTCAAAATGTAAGTATCCATCATAAAAAGGGGAGGACATCAAAACAAACCGCATTAACAATGCTTTAGCAGTTAATTAGTAACTTTATTTGATCTTTATCTAGTTATCCAAATTTTCCTTACCCGGACAAAGCATCGATCCTTTAAAACTTCTAGTAGCTCATCTGGTGTCTTCAACTTCACACGTGTCTCAGACTCCACAATCATGCTGCTTATATTCTGTTGAGCAACTAACTTTCCGCTCTTGGATTTCTCCACTTTAGGCAAATAACAAAGAAATTTTTCTCCAATTTTATTCGGCATAACAATGGACTCTTGGTCCTCATCCTGATGAATAAAAAACAGCGGCTTAACAATCATCCGTAGAGACATGTACAACAAGAAACCCAGTATAGATTAATTTACAGATATTATCCAGATTTCACACTTTTTTTAACTCTTTTCCTTTTTCTCCCCCTTCTCTTTTTCTTTTTCTTTTTTTTTTTCCTTTTTTTCCTTTTTTTCCTTCTATGAGAGATGTTTTATGGCCAATTGATGCCTCTAATGGATTATAGAACAGATGGAAAAAATTCTATTCTCCAACGAAGCCCACTTAAATCAGATCATGGCCGACCAAAGCAGTGGGAAAAAGGACGACTTCTTTGTCTGATTATTTACCAAGGGAAGGACCACACCAATCACTACATTCACACAGAATAATAGCCAAAAAATAAATTACAGTGAAGGGATAACATGTTACCCACTAATGAGCCAACAAGTGGCTTCGGCCGAAAAGACAGAATAAAATAAAATATACCCATTATAATATTGTATCAATCAAGATGATTGAAAGTTTAACTTGTGGGATAGTGAGTTGAAATAAATGGTGAAAGCATCAACATAATACTATATTGATGTTAACCAAATCACTAACAAGTACACACAGCAAAGAGCATGTAACTCTAATTGAGGTATGAACACATTTATAGAGCCCTTATTCCATTCGTACTTTTGGTCCTCATGGTAGGGCTCAGGTAGCTACAAAATCCTCCTTCAAGGGATGAATAAATTTCAACTATTGATAAAGTCAGATATACAAGTAACAAAAGTTTATAGGGTTGATTGGAAAAAAATTAAGCCTAACGAAGCAGATTCTGACTAAATATCTGACAGGGAAAATATGACAGAGATCTATCCCAGCTTTAGGACTTCATTCCAACAATAGCTTTAGCATCTTGTGCTCTTGGAAAGGCAAGGTTAATTGAGCAGCCAAATAATGTTTTAGTTAGGGATTGGGGGTTCTTTCTGGTAGTGTGTGTCCAAAGTGATGCATCACAAAACGTCTATATAAGTAGAAAAGACCATTTGGAAACATGGTTTACGTTTTGGTTCAGAAGAAGCAAACCAAACATAAATACATATTTTTGTGGTTCTAACAGAACCCTTTATTTCATATCTTTTTCTCCAAATTTTTTATGTACACTAACTGGAGAAAACATAAATACATATTTCTCATGTAAATTCCTTCTCATTTGTTCCATTAATAGACACATGGCTGATTAGAGAATCCTGCAAAGGGATTCTATATGGCAGTAAATAGTCGGGACGACTTTAGAAATTACCAAGATATGAAATAAAAAAACGAGCTAGACATAAGGATACAGTTCATTTATTATATAGTGTCTTTTATGATATAAGACTGGTCATCACTAGAAAAAATCAAATTCATGCTATTCTGATTTATTTATTTTGGCAGGGTATGAATATACATTTCTCTTGCGAAAGAAGTTGATCAAGATTCAAGAGTTTTCGTGATGCTGAGTTTAAGATAATTTTGTATTTCGACAAAAGAAGTGGGAAACTGCGAAACTGGAAATGGAATTATCACTTAAGTTTCGCATCACAATGTATCAAGCTATTTTTCTAACCTTATAATATGCATTAATATCGTGAGTCATTACAACTATGCATCATCCCCATAAAAAACTGCTGCTCATTTCCCAGACGGAGTTTTTTTAAGTGTTGAATAACGATAAATACTTTTGGATCCATTAATGAATTATAATATAGAATCATCCATGCTAAGTAATATCCAGTTTCTTCTTAGAAAATATTGACTGCATAAAAGGAAAAGGTTAACAGGTAGTTGTATAGGCATAATGTACTAATCTGACAGTTGTGAACAAAAATAATGGTACCATGGAAAAATGTGGATCTCTTTTACTGAAATTTAAAAACAATGTTAGCAGCTTTTGTTTGAATAATAAATTTCTGGCTGGACATAACTGGAAATTTCCCTTAGTTTACTGATCTAGTATCTCAAAATAATGTCATGGATAATGTTAGGAGTCATTAGGCGGAAGTACTACATCCCCCCAAATAATACTGAAGAATCAATATTCTCCATCATTGAGAAGACATTAACCGTTACCCATATAAGTTTCGGAAAGTGCAATGAGGAAAAGCTTTCAACTTTTATAAACTAAGTATCACACAATTCGTTCTAATTTGAATTGATGGTGAGAACATTTTTTAATGCGATATGCTAAGACCAGGAAACTATCTCTATGTTAAATACATGAAATTGACGTATATAATAGAGCTGGCAATCAGACATGAGTTTCAAAAGACATTGTGAACAGCTTTCTAAAACATCCAACTTCTTTTGTTACTCAAGTATCATTTGTAATGCCATAGTGCTACTAGACAGATTCACAAAATTTTAAACAATAAAAACATATCATGATACAACATTGATAACGACACTTACTGGATGGAATGGTGAGTCTTCTGAATGAAACTCAATTCTGAATTTTGGTTCTCGGGAGCTCCGACCAAAGGTACCACCTAAAATCAAAGATAATATCCGAGAAGAAATTAGCAGCTGTGAGTCATAAAGAAGGGTGTTTAATATTTATTTATCTTTGGCAGTCGGGCTGAGACCCCACATTCAACCAGTAGTAAACATAGTTAAATCTATAATAACACTCTCATTCATACAGACTAGACTAAGACCGAAAACTAAACAGTACAATTCATTTGTCATATGCACACACCAAATCACGCCAAGCATTCGTATAAGATTCATTACATACAAGGGATAAAGATAGATCAACCTTATATTTATTTGTCACATAGAAACATCAGTCATCTAACAGAGTCCTGTCATTTCAATCAACCAACTAATGCTTTTCGTGTGATCTAAAGAATAAGCATGCAGCTTTGCTATTTGTTTGGTGTACAACACACTGGTTGGTAGTTGAAAGCTAACCACATCCCCATCTAATGTATGCCATTACGAATTCCATAACAAAAAGTCTCTTTTCTTCTCACAAGCTGATTTAATATCCCCAAAAATACACATATGGCACTGCCATTCATTTCAAAAGTCAACAATTTCACTGATATAGGGGTAGCACCAAAAATAAGAAAGCACGGATGCAATCAGTCATTCGTCAGTTCAATCAGTTAAAAAGTATTCTGTCTCAGCAAGCGGAAAAAATGGCTCGAGCGAGCGAAATTCTTAGCAATTAGAATTGGCCGGGTAGCTACCTGTATGAGTTGGAATGATCTGATCAGAGAATACAACACCGCAGAAGAGGACGACAAGTATAATCACTGAACACCTTGATTTTTTCATGATTTCAGTTTTGATCTTCCGAGACCCTAATTTTATGTTCGAAGACGGTGATCGGATGACAAGACCCGAAGCTCTTTCTCTTTTAGCGTTGTGTTGTGATGAGAAGACCGACCGGAGTTTCTGATTATGGATCACCCAGCCAATAGAAACCAGACATGTAACACTGCTTGCTTACTAGAGCGCTTCTGTTTATATGGGCTTTCGTAGACATGTCCACGGGCCGAACCGGCCGGGAACCGACCCGCGAACCGGTCCCGGCCCGAACCGAACCGGCATTGAACCGGCCTCCTAAGGGCCGGTTCGTTGAACCGGACCCGTAGGGTCGCGGTTCGGTTAAGGTTTGCTATTTTTTTTTTCCCGACGGGCCGGGTTGGTGGGTTGAATGACGGGCGGTAATGTATTTTTCAGCGGGTCACACCGGCCCGGAACCGGCCAAAAACCGGCGGGTCCGTGACCCGGCGGTTCAAGGCAGGTTTGGACCCGTGGCCCTTAGAAAATGCGGGCCGGTCAAGGGTCATGAAATTGCGACCCGTGGACCCGACGGACCGGGTCGGGCCGTGACCCGGCCCGTGGACTGGCCACCCCTAGGCTTTTGGTGAAAAGACTTTTGTACCGACACCGTATCAAGGCATGTAGATACGGCCACTGGCCGAACCAGCCCAAACCAGTTCGGAACTGGCCCGATCAAGTCTGTTGACTGAGGGATCGGAATCGGGCCCGTGGCTTAGCCAGGCGTATTCAGGTTGACAAATTTATTACTGACACTATAACCAGGCATGTAGACATGGTCACGGAACGAACCAGGCCAAATCCAGCCTAGAATCGACTCATTCAAGCCTGTTGACCGAGGAATCGAAATTGGGCCCGTGGTTTAGCTACGCCGGTGTAGGTTCACAAATTTATTAATTTGTGAACCGTCAGTTTCCGTTCAGGGTCGGCTCGGATCCGAACCAGGAGGTCCATCAATTTTTACATTTTTTCTTTTTGCAAATTTTTATTTTCTTTTATTTTTTAGATAAAAAAACAAAAATAAAGTGGACAAAAAAAAAAAAATTGTGTCGACCAAAATAAAAAGCACGTATTCAGTGAATACATTTTTATTTATAAACTGTATTTAGATAATACGTTTTCAATAAATAAACGTATTTACCGAATACGTTTTCCCTAAAAATAATTTGTTATCTTAATTAACGCAATTAACTTAACTAAATCAAAGAAAAACGTATTATGTAAATACGTTTTAAAATTAAAAAAATCAAACACGTATTATTTAAATACGTGTTTTATGTAAAATTAGTTTTAAATATATTTTTTATTATAAAACGTATTTACGAAATACGTGTTACAAATAAAATTAATTTTTACAATTCCTAAAAATAATTTTTCTCGGAAAAAAAATTTCGAAACATAAACCGTATTCTTTAAATACGGTTTATATGTAATTTTGCCCCGAATTTTTTTTGGTGCCCTAATTTTGCCCCAAAACCCTAAATGTTAGATAAACGTATTCATGAAATACGTTTTATATTTTAAAAAAATAAAAAACGTATTCATGAAATACGTTCTATCAGAAATCCTGTTCACTGTCAAATATACCTGTTCACAACCAAATACACCTGTTCGAGCAACTAATATCAACATATTCGCCCAATAATAATCCAACATACCATATAAATAAACAAATGTAACACAATAATTTGTCGAACAAACAATATATATACAAAACGATATAATTCAGTTTATACAACCAATCCAAGTATTCAAAATAAATACAAAATCGACAAATTCAACACAACTAACTATGAAGGAGTGTATGGTTGTGTAGGTTTGCGCGGTCTGGACCCCCTCCGAGTATATACAATGTGAGAAGAAGACGAAGGTTGAGGTGTAAGAAGTGTGTCAGTTTGAAAAGCCTGCTCAATTTCATCTTCTTCATCTGAATAATTCAATTAAAAAAAGAAATCATAAATTGGATTGTAAAAAAAAAAAAAATATTGTTAATTTAAAAATCTCACCTTGTTGAGGCTCGGGCTGCTCAGGTTGGATGTGCTAGGCTGACGGCTGAGCGCGGGGACGGGCTCGAGGTCTTCTACCCCCACCAATGTTGGGGGCGGGTTGATGCCTGGCCGTGTGCGACTGTGTCCTCATGGGAGCAATGTATTCGTCCTGGGAGAAAACTTGACTGGACGGCCCCCCATGTGGAACACCCTGGCCCCCAACAGTCAGAGAAGAGAAGGCAAAGTTGTACGACTGTTGGAAGCCGGTCTGCGCTTCTGGAGGGATTTGAGGCATTAATGGTTGAATGTCTGATAATGCGTCATAAACCCCTTGAAGTGCAGAAGTCTGTAAATAAATTTCATAATAATTAGTATGAAACACAAAATAATAATAATAATAATAATAATAATAATAATAATAATAATAATAATAATAATAATAATAATAAACACAAATAATGAACACTTACTTGATAGCCTAAGCGCTCGGCAAGTGGCTGATACCCGCCCGCATGCTGGAACACCAGGTAATTGGCAGGGTTATTGATGAATCTCACAGTCCTGTTGTGAAACCAATCAATGTAACCCTGCTCCGGCTGCAGATAGTCGTGCACGAGGACAACTGGGAGGAGACGTTGTTCTAGTTCTTCGGTCCACGAGCTCAGAAAGGGCACATGGAATGCGGCCAATCGTAAAACGCTCTCCCAGTCATCCCTTGACCCTTGTGGTGTGCGTCCCACTCTCGCTCATCCAGAATGATCGGATCGTGGGGTATGGACTGGCGACACCCAAATTGACGGAAGACCCTGTCAGGCAGGTGTACCTCCCGGATGTTCCAACTGAAAATCCACCCTCGGTACATCCAAAATTGTGGATCTCTTGAGCATGCCTCCGGGAGAGTATCATCCTCCAGGTGTTGTCGATAGGGCTGCTAGTCGAACTGTAAAAAAAATAACAATTGAATTAGTAATTAAGTTATTACAAAATTATAAACAAAAAAAGAAAGATAAATGAAGTAATAGAAATTAAGAATATTACATCATACTCTCCCAGCCCTGTCAACTGATCCCGGTAGGCGACCAATGTATTGGCTATGTTGGACTTCTTTTTTGGTCCCACCCACCTTAAAAATCAGAGAAAAAAAAAAGTTTGTAATCACAAGATTTGATAATGAAAATAATGTACGGATAAAATAAAAATAAAAGTTACCTCGCTCCCAATGGACAATCAGGCAGAGTATCAAACCTACTGTTCTTGACTATTGGGCGAATACGAGGGATATGCTTCCATGCCCAAACCTACACAAATGGACATTAATTTTGTTATTAGGTATTAGTCGAAGTAAGAAAGAATAAAATATTAAATTTTCAAATAACAATTAAATAAATTTACTTGGATCAATTGAATGCAGTGCTTCATCCACTTCTCCTTGGCCTTGTACGAGGTTGAAAAAGCTCTGTATACTCCGGCCAGTAGAGCTGAACCCCAACTGTACCCCTGAACAGCATCTATGTCCTGCAGCAGGTCCAGCCAGTAAAGTGGAACGCCATTCGCCCGCTGTTCGGGGAAGATGAAGGACCCAATGCACCAGAAGATAAGGACCGTCGCCCTCTGCTCGTACACGATGTCTGGTTTCCCTTCTTGCAACACACGGTTGCATTCCTCCTCTAACCCTACATCATTCAGATACTGGCCTCTAATGTCCCAAGACTTTGGATCTTGGGCTGCCTTTTCTTCCTCGGTGGTGGGAGGATCCTGAAAGTAGTTATTCCATATTAAAAACGATAAAATTGAGTTGACATATATTTCAAAAAAAATTGTATGAAAAAATATACCTGAACATAGGGCTCGTACCCTAGCAAGTCCTTGCATCTCTCTCGCCACTGTAGGGGTGATAAATCTCTAGTCACTCCCACAACAGCAGATCTACGGATTGGCAGACCGAACAGGACTTGTACGTCCTGGAGCGTGATGGTGGCCTCGCCGAAATCGAAATGGAATGTATTCGTCTCTGGGCGCCACCTCTCCACGAGAGCAGTAATAAGACTGTTGTCGGCTTGGACTCGACCCATCCGAAACAAGTGTCCGAAACCAGCCCGGTCGATGACCTCCCAAACCGACCGTGGCTGGCTTGACAAAGCCACCCAGAATTGACTGTCGAAACGGCGGTTTGTGAGCGCCGTGTCACGAGCTCCCGGCGTATTACTAAATACCGCCTGTGACCAGTGGCGGTACTGGAGATATAGAATAGTGCCATCCCTCGGACCGGGATGGATACTGTACTGCTGAGGCTGTGAGGAGGACGATGAAGCCATTTATCTACAAACAATACAAAAATATGTTATATCATGATTAAGATTATTTATTAGAAAATATCGCTCATTTCAAAAATAAACAAGGCCTCAACTTATTTATTTCGATTATCTAAAATCTTAAAAATAAAAAATTCTCATAGTCTCGTAATATGCTAACATCAAGCGTCCAACATGAACATATATGTATATAAAGTCATTATATCAAGTCCATTCACCTTAGCAAATAATTTATATTCATCAATATAATTCATAAAAATTTAGAGAATGTATAGCCATTTTAGCTTCTTCCGTAATAAACTAATCGGCTCGAAAGAATGGAAATCGAGTCCACAATTTTCACAATTTCAACAATTTCGACAACATAGTATATCGAGTCCTAATTCGAAGTTCTAAATCGAAACCCTAACGTCCTAATTTCGAAAAT